CCATCACACCAGAGATCCAAAGTGCAAGACAACCAGAGGGAGAAACAAGTCAATGCTCTCACCCCCTGCAGTGGATGTGAAGAAGGGAGTGAGCCAGGTGAGGAGCCGAGCTATGGGAGATGGTAGCAACCAGGCCATGAGCCCAGTTATAGAGTAAGGATGCAGAAACCACCTCGTGTTCTGGCACTGTCCTGTTCTTGCCCTCTCCACTTGCTGTGAAGAGTCTGGGAGCCCTTCCTATAGCCAGAACCTCACACAGCACAGCCGTTGTGTAGACAGGCCTCTCAACTCCAGTGCAAGCAGGGTCAATTCTTTTATAATTGGCTTCTTGCCCCACCTCCAAGTTAGCGTGGAAGGCACTCGGTGGTGATCTCCTAATCAGTTCCCAGCCAAGGCTGGCCAGACCCTGGGTGAAAGCCGACCAGAAGGGTCTGTCTTGCCTGGTTGTAGGCATCTCCTATATGCCAACCCTCATTCAGGGCTGGGGGCTTAAATCCCAGCACTTCAGGCGTATGTAGGGTGTTTAATGGATAGCTGTTTCTGGAGGGTCTCAGCTCTAACCTAATGAAAATAATGGTTATAATAAAAACTGAAAACACCTGCTTTAATTGACAGTGTAATCCAGAAGTAAATATAGTACACTCCAGACACTGTGTTTGTGAACAGCAGCTGAAGTGAATCCATGTGCCTCACTGACATGTTGTGAATGATGCAACTTCATGTTTCTCTGTGTTAGCAATTAAGTGGAGTAGTTACGTCTGTTTTCTGCAGGAAGCAGAGACTTGAGATACTCAGATTCTCAGCAGAACTGTAACACTCTGAATATTGTAACTATGCAATATTTTTGAAGTATTGCCATTTTTTCTTTGCCATTATTGAGTGTCCTCACTTTAAGATATAAAATTAACAAGCAAGTGTGTAGCGTGCAGCTAATGGGAGCCATGCATCATTGAGGCTATTAATGATTTCTGCAGGAAAGCATTGTATTTTTTGTTGTTGTAGAACTGCCATCTGTTAAAGCAGTAACATTATTGCCTGAGTACTGTGAAATGTATTTCAATGTGAATGGTTTATGCACTTTGAGCTATGAAACTAGTGTTTAAGAAGCATGTTTCGTATGGTTAGGCAGTGCATTTAAGCTTTTTCTTCTGCAGTAATTTGATCACGTTTATCAAGACTTAGTTGAAATCCTTGTGACTCATAAGTCTTACAACTTTTTCCCAGGTATCTTTTTTCTTTACAAAAATGTTATTTTAAAATATATTCCAGTGAAATGTCAGCAACAAGCTCTGGTTTCTGTTCAGTAAGTTCTCTGCTCTGATTTCACCAGCAGTTGTGGGTAGTCCCACCTTTCCTCTAGCAGGCTGATGGAAACCACCTGGAAATCTGAGTGCTGCCTGTGAGATGTGAGCTCCTCTTGGGATGTAGGGGTGCAACCCTTGCAGTTTGGGCTGCTTTGTATCTATCTTTGTGACCTTCAGATGCTTGGCAGCTATCAGAGAGCTTTGAGAGGTGGCTGCTGAGGGAGTCAGTAAGGACAGTGAGGCCTGCATGTGAGGGAAGGAAAAAGGTGTTATTCCCAGTTCAGGCAGCTGCCGTTTGATAGCCTAACTTACTGGTGAGGATTTGACTTCCTTCTGTTGTATTGTAGACCTGGAGTATGGAGTGAATAGCGTCAGTTAGAGGAGTTGCTATGTGATTGCTACTTTGAATGAAAAATTGGCCATGTTGTCTGTATCCTCAGGTACTTTGTCCTGCATCCTTTATGTGTAGGTGCCACCTACTGTTTTGATCAACTGAAAAACACAAAGATTTAAAATAATAGTAGTTAACCAAAGTCTCCTCATACTTGCAAGGCACTAGCAATCAAAACTGGAGTATACGATGCAGTGTACGTGCCTTATATTCCTGTGATTGCTATTATGTGGCGGTTGCTCTGAATCCAAATGATTTTCATCTTCAAAATGATGAAAGTCATTTTTGCAAGATAAATGATTTGGAGAGTCTTTGGTTGTTCTGGTCTTTGCAAATGGTATGGTGAAGGCAAGGGGTCCTTTCCTCTTCGAGATCAGTGTGAGAGCTTTTAAAAACATCAGTTGTGTTTGGCACTTGAGAAGTTTTGGGTGGTGCTGGTATAGTTGGCTTGCCTTTCACTTAAGCTGTAGTCTGTTTTCCACAAACTGATATATGTTGTGGTAGATTTGCAGAAGGTCATTGTATTATTTATTTAAAGAGGTGATAGACGTCACATTTAGGCATGTCTAAATTTTTTGATGTTTTGGTTGGCTTTTCAGTTTTAAACAAATGATGATTCTTTGGCAGTTTTTTTAGTGTCTTTTCTCCATAAGTTAGAACTTGAAAACCATCTTTGTAAGAGTAGTAATTATTGTGTCAATTTAAATTTAAAGATGATAAATATTATGCCACTATGTTTTGACCTCTAGAGTTTATTGTCAAGGTGAAAGGCACACCTCACTGTGAAAGCAATCTTCAAGCAGCAAAATACAATTCTTGCTTATGTTGACAAACAGTACAAAGGATTCATTTTGCATCTGTGGCATTTTTTTTGCATCCTTGGCATTTTATATGATCAAAATGCCAAATTAAAATGTGAATCTATCATGCAGTCTTCAAAGACAAAAACAAGTGAAAAGAAAAACACAAAACCAACTTCCACATAGAAACAAAAAATACCGATCTTTGCCTTTCCTCTGCAAAAGCAACCACAAACCACAAATTAATAAATCTTCCATGCCTCCTATGGTAGAACATTTGTTACCGCTGTAGTTTGTTTGCTTTTATTATAAAAACAAGCCACAGAGGGCAGAGGAGGGCAGATCCACTGGCAGTGTTAAGGAT